TTTAAAGTCTGAAAGTGTGATACCTCCTGCTTTGTTTCTTTTGCTAAGGATTGTTTTGACTATTCATGGTCATTTATGTTTCCATATGAGTTTTTCTGTATTGTCATTTCCAGGTCTGAGAAGAATGATGTTGGTAATATAATGGGTATTGTGTTGAATCTGTAGATTGGTTTTGGTAGGGTGGTCATTTTTTTTTTTTTTTTTGGAGCTGGAGTCTCACTCTTGTCGCCCAGGCTGGAGTGCAGTGGCACGCTCATGGCCACCACAACCTCAGCCTGCTGGGCTTAGGCAGTCCTTCCAAGTAGCTGGAACTACTGACACACACCACTACACCTGGCTAGTTTTTTTGTGATTTATTGTAGAGATGAGATCTCACCAAGTTGCCCAGGCTGGTCTCGAACCGCTGGCGTGGGCAATCCTCTCTCCTTGGCCTCCCAAAGTGCTGGGATTACAGGCTGAGCCTCTGTACCTGGCCTAGGGTAGACATCTTTAACAACGTTGATTCTTCCAATCCATGAGCATGAATATTTTTCCATTTGTTTGTGTTATCTTTGACTTCTTTGAGCAGTGTTTTGTCATTTTCATTGTAAAGATGTTTCACTTCTCTGGTTAGGAAGATGCCTGCCGAGGTATTTCCTTTTGTGTGTGTGTGTGGCTATTGTGAATGGGATTGTGCTTGTTATTTGGTTATCTGCCTGTTTGTTGTTGGTACAGAAGAATGCAACTGTCTTTTACACATTTATTTTTTACCATGAGGCTTTACCAAAGTCCTTTATCAGTGCAAAGAAGTTTTTGACAGATTCTCTTGGGTTTTCGAGGTATAGGATCATATCATCAGCAAAGAGGGATAACTTGACTTCTTCTTTCCCTATTTAGATGCCTCTGATTTCCTTCCCTTGTCTGATTGCTCTAGCTAGGACTTCCAACACTACGTTGAACAGGAGTGGTGAGGGTGGGCAGCCTTGTCTTGTTCCAGTTTTCAGGGGAAATGCTTCCAATTTCTGTCCATTTAGCAATATGTTGGCTGTGGGTTTGTTATAGATGGCTCTTACTATTTTGGGGTATGTTCCCTCTATGCCTAGGTATTGGAGGGTTTTTACCAAGAAGAGATGCTGGATTTTATCAAATACTTTTTCTGCATCTAATGATATAATCATGTAGTTCTTGTTTTTATATCTGTTGATATATATAATTACATTTATGGTCATGTAGATGTTGAACCAGTCCTGCAACCTGGGGATGAAGCCTACTTGGTCATGGTCATGGTGGATGATTTTTGAGATGTGTTGTTGGATCCGGTTTGCTAGAATCCTGTTCAGAATTTTTTTTTTTTTTTTTTTTTGAGTTGAAGTCTCACTCTGTCACCCAGACTGGAGTGCAGTGGCCGTTCCCAGCTACTGCAGCCTCGACCTGCTGGCTCCGGCGATCCTTCTGCCTCAGCCTTCCGAGTAGCCGGAATTACAGGCACGTGCTACCATGCCCAGCTGCTTTTGATTTATTGTAGAGATGAGGTCTCGCCAAGTTGCCCACGCGGTCTTGAACCCATGGGCTCAGGCAGTCCACTCACCTCAGCCTCCCAAAGCGCAGAATTACAGGCTGAGTCACCAAGCCCGGCTGTTCAGAATTTTTGCATCTATGCTCATCAGGGATATTGGCCTGTAGTTCTCTTTCTTTGTTGGATCTTTACCCAGTTTGAGTATCAGTGTGATGTTAGCTTCATAGAATGATTTGGGGAGAGTTTCCTTGGCCAATTATCTTGAATATCTATTCCATATGAATTTTAAAGTAATTTTACCCTTTCTCCCCTCCAGTATGGTATTCATACTGAAATTTAATTTAAATTATGTTGTATTTGGGAAGGATTGACTTTTTTTTAATAATTAGGCTTTTCCAATGAAGAGTATGGTAATTGATTTGGTACTTTTGCATCCTATTTCTATTTTTTGTTATTTTTACTTTTAAATTGGTAATATGCATCATGGATATATTGCCTAAAGTAAAACAACATTTATATATTTGTCCTGAATAATCAATGAATTAAAAAGTTTTAGCTCAGATTTCTCTTCTATCTTTAATGTCATTATCAAATATATAACTTAATTGTTTATTCTTTTAATATTTAAATTTTTTTGTTTTTTTAGAGACAGGGTCCACTCTATTGCCTAGGCTGGAGTGCCTAGGTGCGATCATAGCTCACAGTAGCTTTGAATTCCTGGCCTCAATGATCCTCTCTCCTTGGCCTCCTGAAGTGCTGGGATTGCAGGCATGTGTTACCACACTGGGTCAAATATTGAATATTATCAAATGTTGTCAAATTTGTTTTATATCTTCTAATGGCTTTGTTTTATTCAACCGGTACCTATTTAAATTTTCCAGTATGCTTATTGATTTCTTTGTTCACTGTTGATTCTAAAATCTCACTTATTTTCTATATTCAGCTTTTTTTCTATTGCAGAATGTTCTTGGAGCCTGTGGATGGTAAACTTGCCCACTCTTTGTTTGAAAATATTTTTTTTCCTCACTCTTCATATTTTAGCTGAATATAGAATTTTACATAGCATGCATAATGATTGTGAAAATTATGCAGGCCTCTTTAAAGATTTTCAGTCAATGTCTTTCATTCCTTTTCTCACAATCTCTCAGAGTCCCAGAAAGAACCATTGTTTATAGTTTGCTTTTTTTCTATGTATACTTTAAAATTTTAAAGTGTAAACTATGTATACTTTAAAAAATGAATATGTACACAAATGCTGTACTTTTTTCTAAGCATAAGTAATCATGTTCATATTTGAGGTAGGCATGGTGTTATACCTGTAATCCCAGCTATTCTGGAAAGTTAAGACAGGAAGATCATTTGAGGACTGGAATTCAAGACCAGTCTGAGACATGTAGCAGGACCCCATCTTTACAAAAATGAAAATAAACCAGCCTAGCATGGTGGCACACACCTGTAGTCCCAGCTACTAAGGAGGCTGAGGCAGGAGGATCCATTGAGTCCGGGAGCTTGAGGCTGCAGTAAATCATGATTGTGCCACTGCACTGCAGCCTGGGTGACAGAGCAAGACCTTGTCTCTTAAGAAAAAAAAAAGTGCCGGGCTTGGTGGCTCAGTCTGTAATCCCGCGCCTTTGGGAGGCTGAAGTAAGTGAATTGCCTGAGCCTGCGGGTTCGAGACCCGCCTGGGCAGCGAGACCTCATCTCTACAATAAATCAAAAAATTCACCGGGCGTGGTAGCGCGCGCCTGTAATTCCGGCTACTCAGAAAGCTGAGGCGGAAGGATCGCCAGAGCCCAGCAGGTCGAGGCTGCGATAGCCGGGAGCAGCACTGCACTCCAATCTGAGTGACAGAGTGAGACTCCAACTAAAAAATAAAAATAAAAAAAAGTCATGTAAAATGTATGCAATTTTTTGCTTTTAAAAATCAACCATGTACATTTTTCCATGTCACTGGAATGAAATCTCCCTTGTTCCTTGAAATAGCTATAGGTTTTCATTGTACTGATGCATCACAATTTAACTCTTTTTCTTTGCTTTTGTTTTGGTTTTGTTTTTTTCTTTTTTCTTTTTTCTTTTTTTTTGAGTTGGAGTCTCACTCTGTCGCCCAGACTGGAGTGCAGTGGCCGCTCCTGGCCACCGCAGCCTCG